TCCTGGGACTGGGTGGGATTGAGGCCAAGGACAGGAAGGTGGGGCCGCCTTTGCCAAGACTGACACCCCAAGGGGCAAGAGCAGCACTGGGCTCAGGAGAAGGTAGGAGGCAGAAGAGCCTCCTTCCTAGCCTTAGCCTACATGCTGTTGACACTGCACATCCTCACCTCCAACCAACCCTGGGCTTCCTAGAAGCCTCCTACTGGGTGTGCCATGGAGCCAGGGACCCCAGTATACCTGTCCTTTAAAGTCCTCCCATCCCCCTATCTGAACTGCCCCTGCTTGAGCCCAGCAGAAAAATTCAGGCTCAGGGTACTATCCAGAAATGCCATCTGCCAGGCCACTACCCAAAAGAGGCTGCACTTGGACACTTACCAGGCTCCGTTGGCTGCCTGGTCCCCCTGCTGCCCTATGGGGTTCTCGTAGCCACCTCCAGCCATGCCAAAGGTATAGGAACGCCGCACACCTGAGGTGGAGTGTGACATGTGAGGGGACATGGCAGGGATAAGAGAACCAAGGCCCAACCCACATGAGTACTAGGGCCATCAAATGAGGTGGAGCCCTGTGCTGTGTCCCAGGAATGCAGCTCAGACCCTGGACACCAGGAGCTGGACAGGAAAGGGCCCGCTGGTCAAGAGCTGGGGCATTGCACCCAGCCCACCCAGGTTTGGATCTCCTGTCACCACTTGGTCAGCCTGTGACTTTAGGCTGTGCCTATTTCCTCAATAGCAGAAGGAGATGACAGAGACACCCACTCAAACACTAAGTCTGACATCAAGCAACATGCCAAAGGGCCAAGGGAGCAGTAAGAGCCACTGCTGGTACAGACCATCAGTGGGAAAAGAAGCGGCAGTGCTGGGCCCCCAGGCTTAAGAAAGGACTCACCACTCTCATCATAAAAATAATGCACAGCACCATCAGAAGTGTCATCAAAAGTGCAAGCTTCGTGCACATTAGTGCCCGCCCTGGTGAGCAGCAGTGAAGAGGCGAAATGCAGGGCAGAGGGCAGTGTCAGTGCCCGCGAGTGGGAGGCAGCCCGGCCCCGCTGAGCCTCCTGCAGGCTGCTGGAGAAGGGTAAGTCCTGGGTCAAAACAACTGAGAGCTAATTGGCCCCTGTGCCATTCAGCCCACCAGCAGGTACTCACCTGGGCGGTGAGCCCATGACAGAGGCTGGAGGAGTGGGGTTGCTGCCTGCATTGTGGCGCCTCCGAATGGCCTGGGTCCGCCTCACACTGCTCGAGCGGTCCCGCCTGCTGTTCTCTTCAGCTGCTGCCCAGAGAAAGGCCCGGAGCATAAGTGACAGAGGCCTAAACACGACCAGGGGTAGGGGTAGGGGTGGTGTTCCAACAGGTAACTAAAGGTCAGGCCCAGTCCAACCAGGCTCTGGCTCTGGGGCCCAGCCAGGTCATCTAGTCATTCATATCTTGGTTTCCTCATTTAGAAATAAGGATGACACTGATCTGCCTGATCAGTAAGCATGAAAAGAAGGAACAGATGAGACTCCTCAGGGAACAGAGGCTCAGGTGCTAACCACAGGCCCTGGTTGTCCAAGCAGTTTGGTAGACATTATCGCCCAATCACTGTGCCACATCCACCTGCTGACGGAGGCTAAGCTGACTCCAACTGGGGCCACTGCAGCCTGCCTTTGCCCAAACCCAAGCCCCCAGATCACCTCCCCTGTTCCATGCCCCTGAAGCCAGCACTCACCTCCCCCCACAGCACCTTCCTCCTGCAGCTCCCCCCGCCAGCCGGGCTGGTTGGCAGCAGGTCCCCTATGGGCCTCAGCAGGCAGCAGCACTGCAGCCTCACCGGCAGCCAGCTCCACCCCCACCTGGGCCTCCAGCTCAGCCTTGGAGCCAGCCAGGGGGGCCCTCAGAGCATCACCTCCTGCCCCATCCATGCTGAGCACTCGGGCATGTGTTTTGGCGCTGGCAGTACTGGGTGTCCGCTGGGTCCCATAGGGCCGCTTGGGGGGCACACCAGTCCCTTCCTCAGCCCCATGGGGGGCCCGCCGCTTCCGGGGCCCCCCTGCTGCACCCTGGGAGCTCTCAGGAGAGTAGCAAGAAGTAGAAGAGGAGCTGTCAGTACTATAGCGGCGTTGAGATCGTAGACTGGAGGCTGGGCTCAGTTCACTGCCCTCACTGGTGTCTTCATCCTCAAAGAAGCCCCCACCCTCAAGCAGGGGTCGTCCAGGGGTACAGCCAGGTGGAGAGTGTCTTTGTATGGGTGGTCGCCGTTTGCTAGGCCGCAACAGGGCCAAGTCCTTGGGCCGCACAACCAGGAGAGGTTCAGCTGGTCTGGGTGGCGTCCCTGCTCCAATGACTGTGTCAAAGGAACGCAGTGTGTCATCTGATGGGACCCCAGCATCTGGTGAGGCAGGCAGCTCAGCCTCAGAGGGTGGGTCTGTGTCACTGCCCTCAGGGGCATGCCCCCCAGGGGGGCTATCCAAGTGGGTTGAGTTAGTCTTCTCACTCTTAAAGCTGCTCAGTGTCTCCCTGTCAGTGCCACTAAAGCAGGAATCTGAAGAACCAGCTTTCTGAGGCGTAGGCTCACCTGAGCCCCGTCGGTCCAGGGGCTGGTAGCCACCTGCTCCCCGGCGTTGTTCCCGTCGGCTACTGGTCCTCACTAGGGTCCGGTCAGGCCGGGTCAGGGTTAGGAAACTCTTGCTCAGCTCTTGACTGAGGCTCCCCTTTAGTAAAGGGCTCATGGGTGTGTCAGCCACACTGCTCCCACTCCAGGGAGCTCCATCTCCAGCCAGGGGAGAACGCTCTGAAGAGTCTGTGCTGGGGAGAGAGGGATCTGGGGCTGCCCCTGGGGGCGTCTGGGGAAGGTCTCCAACTGTCAGAAGAAAGCAAGAGAGAATCAAAGAACTTCTGCAAAAGAAACTGGTGGCTAACAGAATATTATGACAGGGTAGTACACTGAGGTAGGCCTACTGAGAAGTACAAAAGGAGCTCCAAGATGCAGCAAAAGGTGAGGTGATTCAAAGACAAAACTGCTAGCCTTCTCCCTATGACCCTGACACATGCCTACTCACTCAGTTTCTCCTGTGAGCTGAGCTTCAGCATCTCTCGATCGGCTGAGGTCACGATCACATTGTTGCTGCCCTGCTCTCGTACCAGCTCCTTGATGTCTGCAAAAGTAGCCCTAGGGGTGTCAGCAGGATCCTGGTACAGCTGCCTCCCAGCTCCTGCTCCACACGACTATGCTCCAACCCTGAATAGCAGCCACCTACCTCTGAGAGGCCCAGAGTCCTCCATCCGGGGCAGCAACTCCTGAGCAGACAAAGAGAGGCATGAAGGAGCAAACAGGGCAAAGGATAGGTTCAGGATATGCGCATGATGGGGACTGGCTCACAGGAGAGCAGAGGAGAAGCTGAGGAACAGGCCCACTCACCGAGACCTGGTTGAAGCCAAACACGGAATGCTGGGAACTACAGCGCACTGGGGGTGTGGAACTCACTTTCCGAAACACTGTCATCTCCACTCCGGGGTCCCTGATGTGGAAAAAGCAGCAGCTTTGACTTTACCTCCCCTCTTTATATCCTGCTTCCCTTCATCTTCATCTCTCCTTCTTACTCAAAGGTCCCTTTACAATTCCAGAACTGACATAAGACCAGTGCTCACAATCACTCAGGAAGCCAGTGTTCCCTGAGCTCCTACTCTACCCTTCAAGGCTTGGGCTCATGTACCAAGAGCCCTCAATCCCCAACACAGCCCCTGCCCTACCTACCTGGGTGGATTGCTGTCCCCCTGGGCAGGCTCTTCCTCCAGATCTCCCATGGTAGAGTTGCGCTTCTCTACAATCTCGCCCTGGTCGAACATGGCATGTAGCCGATAGTTCACAGTCTTGATGGTAGCAAAGATGACAGCCACCACAAAGCAGTACACACCAGCCACCACCAAGCTGGGGGGCAGGACCTGGAGGTAAAATCAAGTCAGCTTCCTTCTGGCAAAACCCTGTCCTCTACTGGATATGCCTGTCATTAATGTCATGGTTAGAATTCACCAATTCACAAGGAAACTTCCATACAACCAGCACAAAGACCCTGACAGACAGTTCCGTCCTTCATTTAACTACAGAACAAGATTAGATGTGGTCCTCAAGGTCACTCAAACCCCCCAGAGGAAGATTCTGGCCTCTCTTCCACACAGACCCAAACTCTGCAGCAATTCCTCTCTCTCCACACCGCGGAATCTCTCTGCCAGGCTGCCCGCCCTCCACGACATCCTGCCCTCCCTTTCCTGTCAGGAGTTACAGGTGGCAGTGGCAGCATCTCACCATGTACAGCAAGAAGGGAAGGATGAGAAGGAAGATCCAGACATAGAGGTGGAAGCAGTTGGAGAAAGTACTCTGATGCGGGTCGAAGAACCAACCGCCAGTGAGCGAGGCCCACACCCCCTGGCGCAGGATCTGCAACACCTGCGACCCCATGGCCCCGCCACTGCTGCGCGTGCCCCTGTCCCGGGACCCTCATGGGGGCGACCTTCGGCCCATGCCCCGTCTGGCGCCCGAGGGCCCCGGGGCCTAGCCTTAACTCACGCCATGGCCTCCCCCAGCGGGGGAGGGGGGGATCCGCCAGGCTAGGGTACGGGCAGGGGGCGGGGCCGGCTGGGGCAGTCAGCAGTTCAAGGCCCGGGCGCGCGGGTGGGGCCGCATCAGGGGCGGGGTCCGGGCCCCCACCCCTGGCCCACAACTACACCGCGAGGCTGAGCCGGCAGGCAGGCGCGGGGCACGGGCCAGGCACTCTTTGGTGGCATCCAGAGGTGGGCGTGGGGTTTGCTCCCGGAGTGCTGGCCGACGGCTCCCTAGGCTCCGAATCGGGGAGACCCCCCGGACCCTGAGGTCCACTTCCGGGGTCACAGGTCACTCGCGTAGGGCTCCGCGCTCGTCCGGATTCTGCCGGTGCCGGCCCAAGGAGGAGGCCGGAAGGAGCCCCGAGCCACCAGCCTGCAGTGGCGCATGCGTCTGCCTGACCTGACTGGGACCCGGAAAAGGAAAACCCGATGGCGTGAATGCGCAAGCGCAGGATGAGACCCTAGGGCGCCCGTTGAGCGTGCGCAGAATCCGGGGCTAAAGAAAGTCTAAAAAGTAGAAGCGTCTGAGCGCATGCGTACACGCTGGCCTTGCCAACCTAACAGACACCACTGGGTGGAACCGAAAGGTTAGTTGAATGACTATTGGGTAGTCGCGGAGTAATTGGCGCAGAGCTCTTCCAATGAGTTATGGGAGTTGGGGGAAAGATGAAGGCGTGGGCTTTGCGGTGCTAAAGTGAGAGTTCTGTGCTACCTAAGCACGCCCCGCTTGGTCCACCCCTTTTATTACTGGCTCTCCAACGTCGCGAGCTTCTATAGCTTCGAACAGCCTCTACTTCCGGTTCAGTACTCGGTGAAAGTATATACAGAACAACCCTCCGGACAGGCAGAAATAGTCGAAATAGGATAACGTCGTCTTTCTTAAAGTGACAGGTTCAAAGCAAGCGGGGTCAACTCCACGCAGCGATTATCAGAGTAACTCAGCTATTCTGAATCCAATCCTGGATAAAGTTCTGGACAACGGTCTCAGGTTTTCGCCACTGGGGAAGGGATATGAAGAAACGGATTGTTTTCCAGGTGAGGGGAAGAAGAGAGCCTTAGACATGTTCCAAGAACTTGAGGTGCAGCCAGTTCATCTTCCTCCAGTGTTACCCACCACCATCCCACTAGCTCTGCAAAGCAGAGCTTCTCGTCCTCATATGAAAAGAATGAGGCTCAGAATCCATGGATCAGACATTCCTACGACTTTGTAGCCAAGGCCAGACTTGAGTTTGCCCCACTCCCAAATGCAAGCTCTATAATCTCATTTTGCTGATGTGATGCAGATGCAGAGGGTAGAGATGGGCCGTCCTTAGCAGAGACTAGTTGGGATTCTTTCGGCAGCGGAGCACCCAGCCCAGGGCTTTCTTTCTAGATCCCAAAGCCTGTTGTGATGAAGGGTCTGGGGCTACCCTTTCCCTCCTTCTACTATTCCTGGCCCGCCTACCCGGGAACTCCCCGCCCGGAGCCTCCGGGTGGGGAGCGGTGCAGCCCGCCCGCGTCATCTGATGCTGTTTCCTTCAGGAGGGAGAAGAGCGGAAAAAAGTGAAACTCCACCCTCCACCTCTGCCTCCCGCCCCCGGGGCCAAAGTACAAAGGGAGGAGGAAGAAGGGAACAGGGTCGGAGCCACTGGGCCAGAGGAGCCGGGGCCAGGAAGAGGCAGCTTCGGCCCAACTGGGGACGCTCCCTCCACCCCCTGAGCTAAAAGACCCAACCGGAATTCAGGCCCCTGAAAGGCCCCACCTTACACTTGGCAAGTGCTGGAGCCAGGCTCCTAGGACTTCTCTGGGACCAGGGAAGCTCGAATCCCTCCAAGCCAGCCATGGTGAGGCACCGGAGGCCCCGGGGCCCCACCCCCCCAGCCTGACTACACTGCCTTGGGTGCCCTCCTCCAAAAGCCAGAGATGCGGGGGGCCGGGAGGCAACACTCCTGGCTCCCCAGAGAGGCGTGGGTCTGGGGCTGAGGGCCAGGACCTGGATGCCCAGGTTCCAGGACTAGGGCCTCTGCACCCAGCAGGGGTGGAGACCACCGGCATCCAGAGAAGGTCCTCCACGCATCCCAACACCAGCTCCCAGCCATGGAGCCCTTGAAGAACCTCTTCCTCAAGAGCCCTCTGGGATCATGGAATGGCAGTGGCAGTGGGGGTGGTGTGGTTGGTGGTGGAGGACGACCAGAGGGGTCTCCAAAAGCAGCAGCTTATGCCAACCCAGTGTGGACAGCCCTGTTTGACTACGAGCCCAGTGGACAGGACGAGTTGGCCCTAAGGAAGGGTGATCGTGTGGAGGTGCTGTCCCGGGATGCAGCCATCTCAGGAGATGAGGGCTGGTGGGCGGGCCAGGTAGGTGGCCAGGTGGGCATCTTTCCATCCAACTATGTGTCTCGGGGTGGTGGCCCACCCCCCTGCGAGGTGGCCAGCTTCCAGGAGCTGCGACTGGAGGAGGTGATCGGCATTGGTGGCTTTGGCAAGGTCTACCGTGGCAGCTGGCGAGGTGAGCTGGTGGCCGTGAAGGCAGCTCGCCAAGACCCTGATGAGGACATCAGTGTGACAGCTGAGAGCGTTCGTCAGGAGGCCCGGCTTTTTGCCATGCTGGCACACCCTAACATCATTGCTCTCAAGGCCGTGTGCCTGGAGGAGCCCAACCTGTGCCTGGTGATGGAGTATGCTGCTGGTGGACCCCTGAGCCGTGCCCTGGCTGGGCGCCGTGTGCCCCCCCATGTGCTAGTCAACTGGGCCGTGCAGATTGCCCGTGGGATGCACTACCTGCACTGCGAGGCCCTGGTGCCCGTCATCCACCGCGACCTCAAATCCAACAACAGTGAGTTTGGGGGTGTGGCTGGGAGGTGGCCTGGCCCAGGCACACACCTACTCTTAAACCTCAGCTAGGCCTAGCTAGGAATTACTAGAGGCAGGCTAGCCTACCCTGGGGAGTTCCAGTTGACCAGGGATGCCCATGGCTCACACTGGGCCCAAAACAGGAGTCCCAGGTAACCTGCAGAGTCCTTCTGCCCCAGCCTCAAGAGAAGACCTTGACCCCAGCCTGCAGCTGCTGCAGCTTGGGCAAGTTAAAAAATTGGGATCTCTCAAGTGGGCCATAAGCATCCTGCCCAGTCATGGCTACCAACTCCAGTAAGTCCCCTGGATGCTGGTACTACTTGTCTTCCTTTCTCCTAAAGTCTACTGTCATGGCGTTGGTGCTCTGCCCTCCCCTCTCCTCATGGGGGGCAGTTCTTCTAGAACAGGTATTTCAGAGGGGAAACTTTCTCCCCCTTGGTGGTCCACACTAGGGCCAGGGCTGGAATTCTGGCCTCACTGCTCCCTGGCTGCATGACCTCTGGCTGGTTATTTCAACTCAGAGCCTCAATCTCAGACTTCATAAAAAGAAAGGTGAAACAGATTAATGGCCTGGGCAAGCCCCAGCTTAGACTGTCCTACATACAGTGGGTCCTTAGCAGTGGGTGAGGACATTTGAGGGCTGACCTTCCTGGAACCAGCACTCGGGGTGGGAGACTCCCTCTCCCATCATTTCAGACCCCATAGACACTGCCCATCACAGGCCCAAGATAAGTGAGTGACAGGTTTAGAGGACTTCCTGATGCAGGCAGCATTGAGAGAGCAAGGCATGGAGACCAGACCCACCACAGTATGGGGTCACTAGGGCATGTGCCCTATTGGAGTCTTGGGTATAAAGCTGGAAAGCAGTAGAAGTGCAGGAGGGGGCCAGGCTCAGTGAGTCACTAGAGAGACATGAAGTGTTCTTGGTGGGAGGGGCGGGGGGCACAACATGGATATTTTGAGGGTTTTTTGCCTGGGCTGACAAGGGGCTGGTTGGGACCACGGCAGCAGGACCTAGTGATATCCAAGACCTTGCCAGAGCTGGAGGGGCAAAGGAGGCCTGCCAGGTCACGGTACCCACTCTTCTAACCCACAGGAGGGGGCAGTTCTCACTTGTGGGGCTTGGCCATCTAGGGACCCCTATTCCCTGCCCCAGCCTGAGGGGGATTCCCCGAAGGCCCAGGGGAGGGGACTCCCACGTTCTGTTTTTCCTTGGTTTTCTTTCCAGAAAAAATGGAACAATAGCCCAGACCCCTGCTCCCCACCCTCCCCATGGCTTCCTGTGTTTCCTGCTGCCCCTGAGCTGGCTTCCTGCCCCTGCTCCAGCCCCTGTTCCCTCCCTAGCCCAGCTGCCTGAAGGGCAGGAAAGAGCAGGGGGGTGGAGAAGTTGCCCCTGCTTCCCTCTCAGAGCCTGGGTGGTGGTGGTGAAGGGCAGGCAAGGTGCCTCAGTTTCTCTGAGAATGGTATGCAATCTTACAGACCCCAGTCCTAGGCCCAAGTTGCTGTCTGCAGGATTGGGGTGGGGGGAGTCCCTTAGCTGGGGGGGGGGGGGGGGACATGGGCAGGAAACAATGGCATGATTTTCCTGGACAATAGGGGCCTTGTGAGGAAGCCTGGTGGGGAGAGGAGGGGGAATTCTCCAGGCCCACGAGTCACAGGACTGACCAGCCAGCCTGGCCTGGGCCTGACCTCCCACAGTTCTCCCCCATAGACCCCCCCCTTCCCATTTGGAGACCTGGCCCAGGCCTCCCAAAAAGGAGAAGTAGGGACTGTGGGAGGGGAGCAGAAGAGGCATGAGCTGCCTAGGCTACTCCTGAGCCTCACAAAGGCCAATCCAGGGAGGGGCTGGTGGCCAGGTCCCTTTCAGAAGCCAAGGAGCCTTAAGGGGGTACTGAGAAGCTGGCTGCAGCCTTGGGATCTCTAGCCCCTTCTTCTCTGATGGCCCCTGGCCTCCCATGCTTGAGGTCTATGTCAGACACCAGAACAACAACTCAAGATGGGACAAATTCAAGGCAGAGGCAGGCATTAAAGCAACATGGAAAAAAAGTAGGGGATTGTGGAGGTGAGGATGAGGTTTAGCAGGTATTAAGAATTGAGAGGGAGCCCTAGCAGAAAGGCCACAACTACAAAGAAGTCTCCAAACTTTGAGTAAGTTGCTGCTCCTCTCTGGGCCTCCGATTCCCCAACTGAAAACAGGGAGAGAGGCCACCCAGCCTGAGATACTGGTGCAGACAGTGCTTTGCCAGTCTGTGGAATCCCACAAATGGCTAGCTACCAGGCCAGGAAGCAGCAAGGGTTGGTCTTCAAAAGAAGGGGTGGGCCCTGGCATCAGGGGAGGGGCCTGTTCCTACTCTGCCCAGCTGCCAGCCTGTTGTGATTCCAATTTGGAATGAGCTTGTGTGGGGCCTACTGAATGGTCAGGTTCTGAGCCTCCAGCAGCCAGATCAGAGGCTGGCATGAAGTTGGGGAGTTAGAGGTAACAGAGGATGCAGAGGAGAGATTGGATGTGAGAGATGGGAACAGAGAATCTTTAGGACAGTTGGTATTTAGATCATCCCTGCAAGATGGCAGCCCTTGAGTGAAGGCTTTAAAAGTATGATGTGGGCTTGGCACCCGCAGCTCAGTGGTTAGAGTGCTAACCACATACACTGGGGCTGATGGGTTTGAACCCAGCCCAAGCCTGCTAAACAACAATGACAACTACAACAAAAAAGTAGCCAGGCATTGTGGCAGGCACCTGTTGCCCCAGCTACTTGGGAGGCTGAGGCAAGAGAATCGCTTAAGCCCAAGTGTTTGAGGTTGCTGTGAGCTGTGACGCTATGGCACTGTACCAAGGGTGACATAGTAAGACTGTCTCAAAAAAAAAAAAAAAGGACTTGGCACCTGAAGCTCAATGGCTAGGGTGCCAGCCACATACATCAGAGCTCTAGAGGGTTTGAATCCAGCCCGGGCCTGCCAAACAACAATAACTACAACCAAAAAAAAAAAATAGCTGGGCATTGTAGCGGGCACCTGTAGTCCCAGCTACTTGGAAGGCTCAGGCAAGAGAATCGCTTAAGCTCAAGTGTTTGGGGTTGCTGTGAGCTATGACACCATGGCACTCTACCCAGGGTGACAGCTTGAGACTCTCTCTCTCTCAAAAAAAAAAGTATGATCTGTTTAATACTTGTACCAGTGCTCTGAAGTAGGTTTTGTGATCATCCTCAGCTTTACAAACTGTTTAAGACTCAGTCCCAGTTTGGTTCAGGAGTGAGTGGATTTCATGACCATTCTCTGAATTAGGAGATATTGCAGGAAAATTTGCTAGGCACAGTGGGATGGTAAAAGGTGGTCACTGAGAGAGCATGTGGACATCAAGTACAGCCACAGATGAGCAGCTAAATCACCTTTGTCTGGCCTAGAGTTCCAAATGTGGAAGATGCCAGTGGGGTGGGGGAAGCTGGCATCTGGATGAAGCTGAGACAACCGGGTGTGTTAGGCAGAGGAGAGGCTGGGCTTTGAGGAGCACCAGCATTGAAATAGCTGGTGGTTGGTGGGGCTGGGGGTAGAGGGTGGGGTCACAAAACAGCCAAGGGCAGCAGGGAAGGGCTGGGCAGGAGTGCAAAGTGTTTCCACAAGGCCCAGAGAGAGGACTTGGCCAACAGCAGGATTAGGGGTTATGGCCTTAGGCTTTGAAAATTAAGCCTGAGTACCCTAGTTCTCCCACCTCCTGTGAGAAGTTTTCCCAGACTCACCAGGCTGTGTTAGTTCCTGTCCCTGTGCCCCACCTCTAGTACCCTATGCTGCCCCCCATTACAGCCCTGTCACCCTGGACAGGAGAGCTGAGGGACATGCCTGACACATGTTCAGAAACAGTTGTCTTGAATATCACATCTCCTCTACAATGCAATTGGCTGTAATCACAAAATAGAGAGCCCCTTCAAACCCTCAATACTTCTTCCTGATGCCCTCTTCCTGTACCTTTACTTCTCTCATTTGAGCCATTTTTGTCCTAGTGGAAGATCTCCAAGTTGCTCCTTCTCCTCTCTGTACAGGGTCAAGCCATGAGCCCCTGCCAAGTCTGACTACCAATTCCTACATTTGCTCCATGCTTCTCCTTTGTGGACAAGCCCCATCACTTTCTTAGACCCCACCCTTTGTCTTTCCTTCCAGAGTCATTACTAGATATCTTTTGGAGTCTTTCCCTTGGGAGTGGCTGCATTAGCTACAATGTGAGGTGGGCACCAGGGCCCCCCAGCACTTTCTGGGTTTCTTTCCTCACCAGAGGGTTCCCTTCTGCTCCTCACCTTCACGTGGGCTCTGATTGACACTCCTGCCTCAACAAAATGATAAGATATTCATGGATGTCTTTTTTTTTGTTGTTGAGACAGAACCTCAAGCTGTTGCCCTGGGTAGAGTGCCATGGTGTCACAGCTCATAGCAACCTCTAACTCCTGGGCTTAAGTGATTCTCTTGCCTCAGCCTCCCAAGTAGCTGGGACTACAGGTACCCACCACAACGCCCAGCTATTTTTTGGTTATAGTTGTCGTTGTTTGGCAGGCCCGGGCTGGATTTGAACCCGCCAGCTCTGGAGTATGTGGCTGGCGCCTTAGCCACTTGAGCTACAAGCGCTGAGCCATGGATGTCTCTTGAAATCAAAGCCACAGGTACTGAGAGCCTGACACATTGCCAGTTTTTATTTGGTGTAGTATTAGGGAAAAGTTAGAAAAAATTAGCCAGGTGTGTAGCACACTAGTATAGTCTCAGTGACTCCAGAGGCTGAGGCAGAAAGATTACTTAAACCCAGAGTTATTTATGATCTCACCACTGCTCTCTAGCCTGGGTGACAGAGGAGGACCCTCTTAAAAAAAAAATGTTAGCTGGCTTTGGAGCCACACAAACTAGGTTGGAATCTCTGCATTATTTGCTGTATTACCTTAGCCAAGTCACTTTCCTATGCAGTTTCCTTATCTGTAAAATGGGAATATTATTCTCAACCAAATGGCTTTGAGTGCTAGAGCTGAGTGTAAAATGTACGGTCTCTAGTAGATCTTTAGAAAATGTGTCCCTTGGCTTGGCACCTTTAGCTCAGCAGCTAGGGTGCCAGCCACATACACTAGAGCTGGCGGGTTCAAATATAGCCCGGGTGTGCCAAACAACGACAACTACAACCAAAAAATAGCCAGGCGTTGTGGTGGGCGCCAGTAGTCCCAGCTACTTGGGAAGCTAAGGCAAGAGAATAGCTTAAGCCCAAGAGGTAGAGGTTGCTGTGAGCTGTGATGCCATGGCACTCTACCCAGGATAACAGCTTGAGACTATCTCAAAAAAAAGTGTCCCAGAGTTGTTATTCTTCTGTGATTCTATTCTACCTCCAGTTGTGCTCTCCAGGTCAGGATCTAGACCCATTCATCTTTGTGCCCAGCTTGAATGTCTGTCCAATGACATTTTGCCCACAGCTCTTCCCCCGTCCCCACTGCCTGATCTGGAGCATCCACAATCCTGCCCCTCTTCTTCCCTAGTTCTGCTGCTGCAACCCATTGAAGGTGACGACATGGAGCACAAGACTCTGAAGATCACTGACTTTGGCCTGGCCCGAGAGTGGCACAAAACCACGCAAATGAGTGCTGCAGGCACCTATGCCTGGATGGCCCCGGAAGTTATCAAGGCCTCCACCTTCTCTAAGGGCAGCGATGTCTGGAGGTGTGGCTTTGCTAGGGGCTGGGCAGGGTCTGGTATGGGACTGCAGAGAGCAAAAGTGGCTACCTAAGTCTAGGGTTGAATAGACAGGCTGAGCCTAGGGGAAGGGACCCAAACCATTTAGTTAATGGTTGCTTTTCAGTGAAGCGTAAATGGATACAGAAAGGGAACGGAACTCTTTGTTTCACCCACAGCTTTGGGGTGCTGCTATGGGAACTGCTGACTGGGGAGGTGCCCTACCGTGGCATTGACTGTCTTGCTGTGGCCTATGGCGTGGCTGTTAACAAGCTCACACTGCCCATCCCATCTACCTGCCCCGAGCCCTTCGCACAGCTCATGGCCGGTAAGAGGGCGGGACGGGGCAGATGAGGGACAGAGTTCCCTAGCTCAGGAGAGCACCCCCTTCTTACTCTGTGCCCCCTCTACGCCTTGCCCCTAGATTGCTGGGCGCAGGACCCCCACCGCAGGCCCGACTTCGCCTCCATCCTGCAGCAGTTGGAGGCGCTAGAGGCGCAAGTCCTACGAGAAATGCCGCGGGACTCCTTCCATTCCATGCAGGAAGGCTGGAAACGGGAAATCCAGGGCCTCTTCGACGAGCTGCGGGCCAAGGAAAAGGTGAGAGGATTTGAGGGCCCAGGGTTGGATAGAGCCCATTCCTGATCTCTATGCAGTAAAGTTGTGGCGGGCGCTGGGGTCGGGGCCAAGCTAACCCTACCCCTTCGCTGCCCGGAACGCAGGAACTACTGAGTCGCGAGGAGGAGCTGACGCGTGCGGCGCGCGAGCAGCGGTCACAGGCGGAACAGCTACGGCGGCGCGAGCACCTGTTGGCCCAGTGGGAGCTAGAGGTGTTCGAGCGCGAGCTGACGCTGTTACTGCAGCAGGTGGACCGCGAACGGCCACACGTGCGGCGCCGCCGTGGCACCTTCAAGCGAAGCAAGCTCAGGGCGCGCGACGGCGGCGAGCGTATAAGCATGCCTCTCGGTAAGGGGCGGGCCCGCGGAAATCGCCCCGCAATAGGTTGAGTGGGCGGAGGTGGGGCGGGCCAGGCTTGGGTAATGAAGGCACTGGGATTGGCTTAGGGTGTTGGTGGGTGGGACGGTGAGCTGGAGGCTGGAAGCGCTAAGGACCACAAGTGGTTTTTTTTCTGTCTGTGGGCGGGTTCTAGAGGAAATATTTGCATGGCCGTCCAGGAGTGGCTGCGGCCAGGAAGGGGCGGTCTCACGAGAGTTCTGGGAAGGCCTTGTGGGTCGGGCCTGGTGGTGCCCTCGCCCGGGATTTTCCGACTTCTCTGTGCTTTTCCAGGAGATAAGAGTCCAGCCTATCAATTTTCCTTATTCAGAGCCTGGGGCCCAAGGAGGCAGTGAGGCTGGTCCCAGTCACACAGCCACTGTACACAGCCGAGGGCCCCCTATGAGTTGGGCTTCTGACTCTTTTTCACCGCACACCTACTCCCTGCCTCTCCCCTGTCCAAACCACAGACTTCAAGCACCGCATCACCGTGCAGGCCTCCCCCGGCCTTGACCGGAGAAGAAACGTCTTTGAGGTGGGAGCTGGAGATTCGCCCACTTTCCCGCGGTTCCGGGCCATACAGTGTAAGAAACCTCACTTACCGGGATCCCATGAGCTTAAGAGTTCGAGACCAGCCTGAGCAAGAGCTCGCCTGTGGCTCAGTGGGCACTGAGGGTGGCGGGTTCAAGCCCAGCCCCGGCCAAGCTGCAATAGCCGGGCGTTGTGGCAGGCGCCTGTAATCCCAGCTACTCAGGAGGCTGAGGTAGGAGAATCGCCTAGGCCCAGGAGTTGGAGGTTGCTGTGAGCTGTGTGACCCCACGGCACTCTACCGAGGGCAATAAAGTGAGACTCTGTATCTACAAAAGAAAAAAAGAGTGGTTTTAATAAAAAAAGAGAAAAATTAAAAAAGAAACCTCACTTCCTTAACCACCCATCTCGCAGCCCCTTATCTGTCAAACATCATCCTTGGAGGTGGAGCTCACCAACTTGTCTACTCCCCTTCCTCCCCACCCCCAGGCTCCCTGTCCTAGACTGTTACTCTGTTACCTGAGTTCCCCAAGTAGCATTCTTTTCTTTTTTTTTTTCTGTCAGAAAATTGTATGACACTATGTATTAATTTAATTCCTCCTTAATTCTGTTAAGTAGTTGTTTTATTATTCTCTAAATTTTATAGATTAGAAAAGTGAAAAAGGTATCTTGCCCCACATCTATTAAGTGGCAGAGCCAGAATTTAAACCCAGGCAGTTTGTATCAGCAGTGTCTGTACTAAGCAACAAATGTCAACTGAAGGACCAGATGAGATGCCCTACCCCACTGCTGGCCCCAAGCCCCATCTATCTCACCCAAAACCCACTCTGGGAATGTTATGCAGGCTAGCCTGTTCCCCATCCTCTAAGAGACGGCCCTGAAGCCTGATTGTCATGATGGGCAGAGAACAAGGTTCAACTCAGATCGCATCTGTTTCCCTCCCAATAGTGGAGCCTGCAGAGCCAGGCCAGGCATGGGGCCGCCAGTCCCCTCGCCGTCTGGAAGACTCAAGCAATGGAGAGAGGCGAGCTTGCTGGGCCTGGGGTCCCAGTTCCCCCAAGCCTGGGGAAGCCCAGAATGGGAGGTGAGTGTCCCCCACCTCAGCATTATCTGTCTCCCTCAAGTCCTAAGATTCATGAAGCATCTCTCCTTTACCCTCCCATCACCAGGAGAAGATCCCGCATGGACGAAGCCACTTGGTACCTGGATTCAGATGACTCCTCCCCCTTAGGATCTCCTTCCACACCCCCAACACTCAATGGTGAGTGGACTTGCTTCCCCCCAGCAGGATCTTACTGAGCTCCTATGGCATCTTGAGGGGGCCAGGAGAGGCTAGCAGGTAGAGCAGAAATCCTGCCCTGATAGTTTTTAGAGACTGGGAGATGGAGGCTGAGACATGACAGGGCCAGTCCCACAACCCAGATCTGCCCAACAAGCCCACAATCAAGCTGCATACAGCCCAGGCTTCTGGGGATCCAGAGCCTGGTACCCCTGTTCAGACCCAGCCTGTAAGAGGGCTCTTTCCTGGCCCTTTGTTAGCCTCTATGCCCTTAGCAGGCTCTTGGGAGGAAAGGAAGACAGAATGGTATCCCCCATTTGATACCCAAGGGAAGGGAAGTCCCCAGAGAGAGGAAGGAAACTGTACATGTGGGGTGGAGCCAGACAAGTCTACACTGTGCTTCTAGAGAGTCTGTAGGTGGAGAAGAGAATAAGATGGCTGTGCAGGCAGGGGTCATGGGCCATCACTGCATCATGTTCTCCATGATAATAACAGCACTACACACTACTATGTGCTAGGCATTCCATCTAAGCATCTCTGTGAGGGAGGTGCTACTATTATTCTCAGCTTAGAGATAAGGAAACTTAGGTTCTGAGAAGGGAAGTAATCTACCTAAAATGTCCAGCTAAGGATTTGAATTCAGAGAAGGACTTTGGTTCCCATGCTCATAATGACTTTTCTTGGGAGCTGTCACTTGAAGAAAGGGTTTCTTACATACAAACTGCTCAGGAAACTAGAGGGTCTGGCAGAGACCAGGACTCCAGCAGAAAGATGAGGGTTCAGCTCAACACTGCCCAGCTTTGGCAGGAGCTAGAAAGTTACACCCTCCCTTGCTTGGGGATCCCTGTGCCAACCCAGGGATCATCTTCAGAACCACTCATCCTACCTGCTGCTCACCGCCAGCATCCAAGACCCACTTAGCTGCTTAGACCTGAATCCTTATTGCTGAAGCAAACAATTTAGACTCATTCCTCTCACCCCATCCCACCCAGCCTGTCATATCACCATCACCTGAGCTACATTCAATAGTAATAACATCAGCTAACATTTGTTGGATCTCTTCTATGTACCAGACAATTCTATGAAGTGGGTATTGTTATTAGCTCCATTTTTTCAGTGAAGGAAACAGAGGGACAGAGAGGTTGCATGTTTTAATGGAAGGCACCCAGTCAACACTATCCTAAGGTGAAGAGCAGAGATTCGAACTGAGGTCTGACTCCAGAGGCAGGGCCCTGGATCCCTGTGTGGCCATACCTTCTTCTGCTCCAGCAGTTCTACTGCCCAAGCTGGCTGTGCTGTAGGGATTAAACTTGAGAATCAGAAGACCAAGGGGGCTTCTTGGATTCACTTGCTCTGGAATGTACAAGGCCAAAAGGCTTAGTAGAGAACTTGAGGTCCTGTCAACCCAGCTATGTAGGTCAAAGCAGCCCTGACACTGTTCTGCAGAGCCCTTTGACCTTGCCCTTACTGAGCTCCTAGGGGAAGGGACACAGGGCCTAAACCCTATCCTTTTCAAATATGTACCTTTATCTGAAAGTACATAACTTGCTTCAGCCCAGACGTAGTTCTCCTATCCCAATCCCACACTCTAGCCACTACCTGGAGCCATGAGAGTACATGACCTTGACCTTGCAACCAGCCATGGAGTCAGAAGCCTGGATGAGAATCAAAGACTAGGATCTCATAGAGGTCCCATGAGATCTCTCCCAGACCCTGTGAGATTGTCCCAAGCATAAGCCATACTGTTGGGAGCCACATCTCCCATCCACCCAGTTTGTCCTCTGCTGGATGTTCTAGCCCCTAGGGAACTGGTCGCAGTGAGTTGCACATTGATGGGGTGCATTCAGCCTACACTGACAGAGACTGTCCTGTGAAGCTTGTTGCCTGGAACCACTAACTGCCAAATGGCCATGTCCTCTCCATGAGACTCTATAGAAGCAATTTCACCTTTATCTCTGGGTCAAGAATAGTTGTGCTGCTTTCTCTCAAACAACAGGGTTGCCAACTTTTTCTACTAGGAAGAGCGTAACAGATTTATGAGCCAGGCATCAGCATATTAACAGTCAACATTATCCTAAGGTGAATTTTAATCCTAGCAAAATTACCTTGGAAAGTCACTTACCTCTCAGAACCTCAGTTTCTCAGGCTATTATTGACTGCAGGAACTTTTGTTCACTCTCATTTTGTGTGCTAGACTCTGTCTTCTCTTCCCTTTGTGTCATTTCTTTTGCTTATTTTATTTAGTTTTTGAGAGATAGGGGTCTTACTGTCACTCAGACTGGAGTATAATAACACAATCAGCTCACTGCAACTTTGAACTGGTGGATGCAAGTTACCCTCTTGCCTTAGCCTTCTGAATAGCTGAAACTACAGGTGCAGGCCACCCCACCCAGCTAATTTTTAAAATTTTTATAAAGACAGGGTCTCACTTTTTTGCCTAGGCTAATCTCGAATTTCTGGTCTTAAGTGATCCTCCCACTTTGGTCTCCTGAAGTGGTGCGATTACAGGTGTGAGCTACTATGCCTGGCCCTTTTTTTTTTTTTTGAAAGACAGAATCTTACTCTCTTACCCCAGGCTAGAGTACTGTGGTGTCGTAGCTTACAACAACCTCAAACTCCTGGGCTCAAGTGATCCCCCTGCCTCAGCTTTCCCAGTAGCTGGGGCTATAGGCACCTGCCATAACACCCAGCTAATTTTTCTATTTCTTGAGGGCACCCATAGTTCAGTGGTCAGGGCTCCAGCCACATGCTCCAGGGCTGGTGGGTTTGAATCTGGCCTGGGCCTGCTAAAAATCAACAACAAAAAAAATAGCTGGGCGAGGTGGTGGGTGCCTTGTAGTCCCAGCTACTAGGGAGGCTGAGGCAAGAGAATCTCTTGAGCCCAAGAGTTTGAGATTGCTATGTGCTATGAAGCCATGGCACTCTACTGAAGGCAACAAAGTGAAATTTTTGCCTCAAAAAAAAATTTAAAAATTAGAAAAAAACAATCACTTGTGGTTAGCCCAAGGATTATATGAATGGATTCTTCCATCACACAGGAATTTTTTTTTTTTTTTTGCAGTTTTTGGCCAGGGCCAGGCTTGAACCCACCACCTCTGATATATGGGGCCAGCTCCCCACTTCTTTAAGCCACAGGCACCGCCCCAGAAACTTTTTCTTTTTCTTCTTGAGACAGAGCCTCAAGCTGTCGCCCTGGGTAGAGTGCTATGGCATCACAGCTCACAGCTGCCTCCAACTCCTGGGCTCAAGTGATTCTCCTGCCTCCACCTCCCAAGTAGCTGGGACTACAGGCGCCCGCCACACACCTGGCTATTTTTTGGTTGCAGCCATCATTGTTCTTTGGCAGGCCCAGGCTGGATTCGAACCTGCCAGCTCAGGTGTATGTAGCTGGCACCTTAGCTGCTTGAGCCATAGGTGCCAAGCCAGGAATTTTCTTTTTTTTTTGCAGTTTTTGGCTGGGGCTGGGTTTGAACCCGCCACCTCCGGCATATGGGGACGGTGCCTTACTCCTTTGAGCCACAGGTGCCGCCTGGAATTTTTTTTTTTCCTGAGACAGAGACTCACTATGTCGCCCTGGGTAGAGTGCCATGGCATCACAGCTCACAGCAACCTCAAGGTCTTGGGCTTAAGCGATTCTCTTGCCTCAGCCTTCCCAAGTAGCTGGGACCACAGGTGCCTGCCACGATGCCCAGCTGTTTTTTGGTTATAGTTGTCATTATTGCTTGGCAGGCCTGAGCTGGATTCAAACCCGCCAGCTCTGCTGTATGTGGTTAGCGCCCTAGCAGCTGAGCTATAGGCACCGAGCCACATCACATAGGAATTTTATGAGCCAGGCATCAGTGTCTTAGCAGTCAACACTGTCCCGAGCTCAGGGACATTCTAGTCTGATGGTAGAGGCAGACTCATAAACAAGTACAGTATACTGTGTAAGGCATAACATGATTAATAACTGGACAGTTTCAGGGGGACTCTGGGAAGGCAATGTCTTAGCTGGATTTTGGATGGTGAATAAAAGATCACTGAAAGCTGAAATAGGAAAGGTGAGTTGGGCAGAGAATAGTGCACGCATAGGCATGGGGCTCATCAGACCCAAAGAGGAGGAAACCTGGCTAAACTGAGAGAAGAGTTGAGAGCCAGGGAGTCCCAGGCCTAAGGCACTAGCCATAGGCCAAGCCTGCATCCTTGGCACATGAGTCAGTACATGTTTGTTGAATAAATGAGTGAATGAAGTTGGAAAAGTAGGCAGTAGCCACTTCAGGAAAGGCCTGGAAGAGATAGGTTTTTTGTTTTTTTGTTTTTTTTGAGACAGTTTCACTTCATCACCCTAGATAGAGTGCTATGGTATCATAGCTCACAGCAACCTCAAATTCTTGGGTTCAGGTGATCTTCTTGCCACAGCCTCCCAAGTAGCTGGGACTACAGGTGCCTGCCACAACTCCTGACTAGTTTTAAAGACAAGGTCTTGCTCTTGCTCAGGCTGGTCTTAAACTCCTGGGCTCAGACAATCCACCAGCCTTGGCCTCCCAGAGGGCTAGGATTACAGGCGTGAGCTACTGCACCCAGCCTGATAGATGGTTTTTAAATGTAGACCTGTCCTTAGCAAGTTTACATTTTAGGATTCCCTTGGCCCTTGAGTTGCAGTGTCCAAGGTGGGGTTGGGGAATGGGTGAGGTAAGAGGCAGAGAGTCTGTGTAAGGGTTGTACCCAACAGAGGGGGGACTCTGAGCTATGCTGGTTCAGAGTAGAGGCTCATTCTTCCCAGGCTTGCATGTCTTCCTCCTGACACCCACCCCAGTGCTCTGATTCAAGCAAGTTTGCTCCATTCCTGGCCCAAAGAGGAAGGGAAAAGCCAGGGAGGGCTTTAAAAGCCCAGTGAAGGCCAGACTTTTTTTTTTTTTTTTTTTAATAGAGACAGTCTCATTTTATTGCCCTTGGTAGAGTGCCGTGGCGTCACACAGCTCACAGCAACCTCCAACTCCTAGGCTTAGGCAATTCTCTTGCCTTAGGCTCCTGAGTAGGTGGGACCACAGGTGCCCACCACAACGCCTGGCTATTTTGTTGTTGTTGTTGCTTTTTTGTTGCAGTTCAGCTGGGGCCAGGTTTGAACTTGGAGCTGGTGCCCAACTCACTGAGTCACAGGTGCCGCCCGCGAAGGCCAGACTTTCTTCTTCTAGTGACATAGCTGTTTCTAGAGCCAAGGAAGGAATCTGACAAGGAGGGACTACTAAAGGCCATCTTAGACCTCCCCTACCTCCTTAATGACTTGTTTTCCAATATCACCCCAGGTGGTCTAAAATGGGGTCAGGCTCACCCTAGACTCAAAGATAGGACACCGAGGTCTTGACATCTAGGGTAGAGTCTCATTAGAAAGTGGTGAAGTGCAGAGGCTCTGCTGCCCCTACCTGGGATGAGGCCAGCTGTACTCCTCCCTGGCTATACAGCCTTACGCAAGACTGTCATCTCTCTCAGCCTGGGATGCCTGGGGCATGAGGATCAGACAACATAACACCCCTAAATCATTCAGCTTAGGCCTGACACAGACATGTGCTCTATAGACTAGTTATAACTATGAGCAAGGCTCTACCTCTTTGAACCTCAGTTTCCTCATTTCTGGAATAGGGACAGTGATGTGTAAGGGTTGTATCTGACAGAGGGAACTCTGAGCCATGTCCTGGTTCAGAGTAGAGGCTCATTTCTTCTCAGGCTTGCATATCTTAGGGCTATTGGGGTTGACTTGTGTGCTGTAAGCTACAAGTGGAATGGGGGCCAGAGCTGCCAAACCAGGAAGAAGGTGGGCACAGAGCACAGGGTGCTGGTTTCACTCAGTGGGGCCAAACCTGTCCCTCAGCCCAGAGTTGCCCTGGGCTGACCATTGAGGCCACTGTGGTCCATTGTGATCTGCTTCCTCTTGGGCCCCCATCGTGCCATCTCTGGGCTCCCAGGACCCTGGCTGCTTCCTAGGCTTTGCTCTGCTAGTTCCTTGGTCTGCACTGCCCTCCTTGCAGCTCCCATCTTGTGAAAGCCTGGAATGTGGGTGTATGATTGGGGATACTCTTGTGGGCTGGGGAGCAGGGGAGCCAGGAAAGATGATGGTGGGATATAGAACTCAGTCCTTGTTCCAAGACCACTAAGGGATCCACAGAAGACACAGCAACTGCCACCTAACATGTGCCATTCCTGGCCGCAGGTAACCCCTCACGTCCAAGCCCAGAACCTGAGGAGCCAAAGCGGCCCAGCCCAGCAGAGCGCAGCAGCAGCTCCGGGACACCCAGGCTGATTGAGCGCGCACTGCTGCGTGGCACTGCCCTGCTCGCCTCGCTCGGCCTGGGCCGGGACCTGCAGCCTCCAGGAAGCCGTGAGCGTGGGGAACCCCCGCTGACACCCCCTACACTGGTGCCCGCACCATGCTCTGCCGAGCTGTCCCCTTCCCCACTTGTGTGCCTCTCACCCAAGGTGCTGGGTACCCCACCCACCCCTGCACCTCTGCTGCTGGACCTGGGTGTCCCTGCAGGCCAGCGGTCAGCCAAGAGCCCCCGGCGTGAGGAGGAGACACGCGGTGAGTGGCCCGGAGGCCAGCCTGTTGCCTGGATGTAAGATGGGGGCATCCAGAGTGGGGGCACATGCCACAGCTATCTGCTGGACCCCTAACTGGGGCTTGAGGCCCTGGAGAGCATGTAGGGAACTGAGTTCTACATTCAGCCAAGGGTCAGGGACTAGGTGGGGCTGGGCTAAGGCAGTCATGAAATAAGAGAAGTAATAATAATACTGTTGGTTGCAAATGCCCATCAGTTTCTTACTGTGCCGGCTGCTATTTGTGGTACCCTAGAGATACAATTATCACAACAACCTGTGAACTAAGAGCTCTTATAATACCTATTTTTGTTTCCTTTCGTTATTTTTTTGAGAGTCTCACTCTGTTGCCCAGGCTAGAGTATCTTGGTATCAGCCTAGCTCACAGCAATCTCAAACTCCTGGGCTCAAGCTGTCCTCCTGCCTCAGTCTCCCATAGTGTTAGGCTTACAGCCGTGTGCCACCATGACCAGTAATACCTGTTTTTAGATGAGGAAATTTAAGGCACAGAGATTAAGGGACTCAGAGTGCTCACAACTAGTAAGTGGCAGGGCTGGGATCCAAGGCCAGGGCAGGTATGTTCCACAGGCCTTGCTCTTGACCATTACTGAATAAACAGATGCACCACAGGTCATGAAGGGCCAGGAAGGTTGAGTCAAGTAGCTTATGGTACGGATGGGGAAACTGAGGCCCAGACCAGGGCTGTGTCTTCTGGGAACTAACCCTGTGCTCTTCCCGTATCCTCATAGGAGGCACTGTCTCACCTCCACCAGGGACATCACGCTCTGCTCCTGGCACCCCAGGCACCCCACGCTCACCGCCTCTGAGCCTCATCAGCCGACCTCGGCCCTCACCCCTCCGCAGCCGCATTGACCCATGGAGCTTTGTGTCAGCTGGGCCACGGCCTTCACCCCTGCCCTCACCACAACCTGTGCCCCGCCGGGCCCCCTGGACCTTATTTCCAGACTCGGACCCCTTCTGGGACTCCCCACCTGTCAACCCCTTCCGGGGAGGTCCCCAGGACTGCAGAGCGCAGACCAAAGACATGGGTGCCCAGGCCCCATGGACACCGGAAGCGGGGCCTTGAGGGGGTCAGGCCACTGCCCATGCTCCAGCCACTTAGAGGAGCCACAGCATACACTGGAACGGGAACCAGGTCAGCCTCTGTGGTTGCCTAGCTTACCCCCAGGGATTCTACCCCCTTTGGGGGTCAGGAACACTACACTGCACAGGAAACCTTCACACTGGACAGGGGGCCTACACCCCCTACACCTGCAAACTGTAGGTCCCCCTGACTTACCTGCCCCCTAATGGGGCCTGACACTGTACCCAGCTGGTTGGGAGGACCAGAGCCTGTCTCAGGGAATTGCCTCCAGAGGTGGTGCAGGGAGGAGGGGAGGTGCAGGGGAGAGGGGCTGGCCTCAGCTGTCACCAGCACTTTTGACCAAGTCCTGCTACTGTGGCCCCTGCCCCAGGACTTAGTCCCTCAACCCTCCTGCCCTAGGGGTCACCTGGGGCTGGGGCTCTCCGGGTGCCTTTCTGCTGCCCCACCCAGGGTTGGGACCTTAGCCTTGGGATCCAATGAAGCCAAATAAACTCATAAGCCGTTGCCCCAAATGCAGCCTGTCATCTTCCTTGGAAGTAACCAGCAAACTCAACTTATTATGTGACCCTGGTGTCCTCATGCCCCCACACACACAGTGGGCAGTTGGCTGGGGCCTACGCCAGGTTGCCTTGCATTTCACCCCTCTGGGACCAAGGCCACCAACCTTGGTCACTTAAGGCCCTCCTCAGGCTCCCCTGCACCCACCTGCTGGCTTCATCTACTTCCAGCGCTGGATTCACCCTTGACAGTGCTTTCCTGCTCCATGTGTTTACAAGTGCCATTCCATCCTCCAAGTGACTTGCCCTGACCCTCCCTATTGCTGGGTAGTCCCTGCTTAACCTCTGGGCTCAGCTGTAACAACCCTTGTCCCCAGGATACCTTCCCTGGCCATGCTGCTCCCACCCAGAAGGATCTTTGAGCTCAGAAGTCCACATTCCTCTTGAGGAATAAGCTCCATATACCTATGAGCATGGTGACCTACTATGGTACCTGGCACCACTAACACTGCTCTTGGGACTAGGGGGGTTCTGTGGATGAGCACTCCCATGAAGTCACCTAGGGTTTGGTTCCTCCATGGTTATGGTGGTTATAGGAGTTGTAGCCCAGGCTCCCCCCTCCCTTAGCACCCCATGGCAGCCAGATTCTGTGTCTGCAGTTCAGGAGGCTGGAGAGCTGTAGGCACAAAGCTGCTCAGGAAGGACCACAAAGGAAGGCCAGAGTATCATCTATCCAGGGCACTCTGGACACCCTGAGTCCTCTTTACCTCTCACCTCTGCTCCCACCTGATCCATCCTAAATGCCACCATTTCTTTCCCACTTTACTGTCCAGGCCACTGCTATTCCATCCAGGATGACCCCTTAGGTCTCCTGGACCACATTTGTCCTCAAGGGCCTGTGGTGTCCCTTACCTTCCCCCACCCCACTGTAGCCAGTCCCCCTTGTTCCTCCCATACCACAAGCTTGTTCCCACCTGAACTGGTCTGTTCTCGATTCCCACCTGAAGTGTTATTTCCTTACAGAGATTTCCCAATAAGATACCATTTCCTGGCTCGGCCCCTGTGGCTCAAGTGGCTAAGGCACCAGCCACATACACCTAAGGTGGCGGATTCGAATCCAGCCTGGGCCTGCCAAATAACAATGATGGCTGCAACCAAAAAGTAGCCGGGTGTTGTGGCGGGCGCCTGTGGTCCCAGCTACGTGGGAGGCTGAGGCAGGAGACTCACTTGAGCTCAGGAGTTGGAGGTGCTGTGAGCTGTGATGCCGCGTGATACTGCAGCACTCTACCCAGGGGGACACTTGAGGCTCTGTCTCAAAAAAAAAAGATACCATTTCCCCCAGAAGTCTCCCATTACCCAGGGTGTTTCCTTCATGGAATTTATAACACTGTGAAGTTGTAATGCTTCTTTGCTAATAGCAGAGGTTTCCTAAACACCAGGAGGGAAGGGGCATGTGTTTATCTCCCCCAGTGTTCTCAGGACCTAACAGCAGTCAAGTGAATGAATGGGGTATGGGTGCTAGGCGAGCATGACTTCATATGTGTGAGGGAGGCCTTACCTCCCTGCCCTGTCAGCACCCTAATGGCAGCCTTCCTCTCTGTCAACCCCAATGTCCCAGCGTAGTGAGATGCAATTGCCCCGGAAGCTGGCAGAGGTGCTCCAGCTCACCTTCCTCCCCTTCATACTTGGCCCAGCTGTGTCCCAGCTGCCCACGCAGCACCTCCTCCCAGCCCCACCCTGCCTGCCCCTCCCAAGCGCCTGCAATGCAGCAGCCATCTCACATAGCACCCCAGACTCAGGTGGCACACCATGGGCAGTCTAAGGCCCTGGGCCCGATATGGGCTCCTAGTTGTGGGCCACCTGCTGGCCCTGGGGGTTGGGGCTATGGTGCTCCAGGCCCTGGAGGGACCTCCAGCACTCAGACTCCAAGCTGAGCTCAGGGCTGAACTGGCCATCTTCCAGGCCAAACATGGGGCCTGCCTGGCACCTGGGGCACTGAAGGAGCTGCTGGGCGCTGCCCTGGAAGCCCAGACCCATGGGGTCTCCACCCTGGACAACAGCTCGAAGGACAGGAACTGGGATCTACCCTCGGCCCTGCTCTTCACTGCCAGCATCCTCACCACTACGGGTAAGGCTGCCAGGCAGCCCTGTTGGAGGGAACTCCTGAGGCCATTAGTCCCTGGGAACACCAGGGATACAGCAGTCCTTTCCCAGCCCCAAAGTGCCAGATGGAGCCTGGGCCCTATCAAGCCTGACATCACTACTGGGGCTCTTCACATCAACACACCCCAACTGGTGCCTCCACTTCAGCTGCCAGGAGGGGTGTGGCTTCCCCATCCCCACCCCTAGGCACCCTTTGAAAGCCAGGAGTGGTGCCCAGATCCCATGGGGCTGAGGCAAGGCAAGAATCACAATACAGTGGGATAGACTCTTAGATGGAGCAAAACAGAAGGAACCTGGAAAGCACAGATGAGGACCACAGACTCGGGGTGAAGTGAGGGAAGGCTTCTAAGGGAGAAAGTAAAGACAAGAGAACACAGAGATAAGAGATGAAGGAATTCCTGGCAGACAGAACAGTATGTGCACAAGCCCAGAAAAAATAAAACAATGGGATCACAGCCCTGGTTGGGGGAATTCTCTTAGTTTGGACCTACAAAGTATCTAAATATTTTTTTAAAGTCTGTATTTCCAGCTTTTTTTGGAAAATCAGGAACCCTATTCACACTAAACCAGAATCCCTCAAGGCAACACACTGCCTCTTGGAGAGGGCCTGTCCCTATGGCCAGAGCACATACTCTCCGGTATACTCCAGTCCCCACCACTCCCTCTTGTCTCACATCTGACTCCTATAGGTATTTGACATTGCTGCCTCTGGACTAAATGACTCCGCTCTCCAGGACACCTTGCTCTCCCACCTCACGCTGCCCTGCACATGTGCTTCTGGCCTCCAATGCCCTCTCTCCTGCTTGCTGCTTCTTTGTAGTTCTTCCCATTAAGTGTCCCCACTGATTTTCCTGCCTGCCTCCCCCACCCAAGTGCTGGGCCTGAGAAGACTCAAGACCTGGCATACAGAATGATGTGATACACATTTGTGGAATGAAAGAGCAAGTGACATTCCACTGGCTGTGGATTTGGAAATATTTGGAAGTACTTAGACCCAAGCTGAGGAATCTTTTACAGAGCCAGGATATCTTGGGGCAGAACAGCAGTACCCAGAATTGTCCCAGCTGCAAAAGGCCTGAGGGACTGTCTTCTTTAGTATGTTCATTTTCCAGAAAAGAGAAGAGGGACCCAGAGATGTTAAGGCATTTTCACAGGATCCCAAGAGAAGAGAGTAGAGCCCCAATATGGACTCAAACAGTTCAGGCAATTTCAGCCACCAGAGGGCAGCCTCGATTTGGGGGAAGTTGGGACCCCAGCAAGCAGCCCACTCAAGAGCTCATCATTCAGCTAGGTGCCTGTGGCTCAACTGGCTAAGGCGCCAGCCACGTACACCCAAGATGGCAGGTTTGAATCCAGCCTGGGCCCGCCAAACAATGATGGCTGCAACCAAAAAATAGCCAGGCGTTGTGGTGGGCACCTGTGGTCCCAGCTACTTGGGAGGCTGAGGCAGGAGACTCGCTTGAGCCCAGGAGTTGGAGGTTGCTGTGAGCTGTGATGCCACAGCACTCTACCCAGGAGGGGATAGCTTGAGGCTCTGTCTCAAAAAAAAAAAAAAAAGAGCTCATCATTCACTCTCTTATCTTCACCAGGCTATGGCCACATGGCCCCATTATCCACAGGCGGAAAGGCTTTCTGTGTGGTCTATGCGGCCCTGGGGCTGCCAGCCTCCCTAGCACTTGTGGCCACTTTGCGCCACTGCCTGCTACCTGTGCTTAGCCGCCCAGGTGCCTGGGTAGCAGTTCATTGGCAGCTGGCACCGAACAGGGTTGTGCTGCTGCAGGCAGTTGGACTGGGCCTGCTAGTGGCTGGCATCTTCATGCTGCTGCCAGCAATAGTGCTGTGGGGTGTACAGGAAGACTGCAGCCTGCTGGAAGCCATCTACTTCTGCTTCAGCTCACTCAGCACCATTGGCCTGGGGGATCTGCTGCCCAGCCACGGCCAAGGCCTGCATCCAGCAATTTATCACCTTGGCCAGCTTGCACTTCTTGGTAAGTGTGGATGCCTGAGAGTGGGTGAGGGAGTAGGGAAGCAGGGCCTGGACTACAACTCACATGAACCACCTGGAGTCTGAACCTCATAGGTGAAGAGACCCTCAGGCCTAGTTGTAGTCCAATGAACCCTGGTGTCAGGTGTGAGTGGCACCAGGTGCCAAGGTGGCACACCAGGCCGGGAGGTAGGGGGAACATCATCAGCACTCCCAAGAACTGCCCAAGCAACCTCTTCTTCCAGGTTACTTGCTCCTAGGGCTTCTGGCCCTGCTGCTGGCTGTAGAGACCTTCTCAGAGCTGCCACAGGTCCGTGCCATGAAGAAGTTCTTCAGGTGCAGTGGCCCTTTCACTGCTGAGGACCAAGGTGGTATCCTGGTCCAGGATGAGCTGGCTCTGAGCACCCTGCCACCCACAGCCCTAGCCTCAGAACAAGCCCCAGCTTGCTGACAGGTGTCAGCTCCTTTAAGGTGGAGGAGCAGGAAGAAGGAAGCAGCCAGGAGTGGGTTGGGAAGAATCTGGAGCTAGAGGTGGGGTGGATGTGAGAACTTCAAGAAATTGCGTATTTATAAAATGGACAAAAATGTCGACTGTGTTTCATGTTTTCTTTCGAAGACAGAGCCATCAGCCATTCCAGCCCCAGCTAGGTCTGGGAATTTGAAATCCAGCACAGTCCCGCTAAGGATCGCCGAGCCAACCTTATCGGCCTAGGCCCCACCCTCTTCCGTGCATTGAGGGGCCCAGGTTCTGCAGAAAAGTGGCTGACGCTGGTGTATCCTTGTCAGATTTTATTGAACAGGTACAGGAAGGGGGGGGCGGTCTCCGAGCCATCCCTCTCTACCGGGCCAACCCGCCCGGGTCCTGCCATCGGAGAGGGACTCCGCGCAGCGCTCCTGGGACCCGTAGCCCGTCGCGGACACGCGCACACACCTACGAGCAGATAAATACAGCGCGGCCGCCCGACCTCTCCGGCTGGTCTGGCGGAGGGGCCGCCTCGCCCCGCCCCGGGAAGGGGCTCCCCCTAGCGGCCACATGCACACCATCCGTCGCACCCGGTCCTCTACCGTGCAGGCGCAGACCCAGTGCGACCAGGACCTCCCAAGACCCGGGCAGCCTCAACTCAGCATGCAGCGTTCGCGCCGGCTCAGCTGACGGCTCAGCTTGCGGCGTCGTTGCTCCAGACCGCGCTCCAGGCGCTCGTCCTCCTCCAGGGCTCTGGGAGAAACAGGTTCGAGTCAGCCGCAGCAACCGATGCCCAGCTCGGAACTTGACGGAGCCCCCTTTAGGAGCACGCCCCATGCCAGTCCCCAGCTCCCAGCGCCACCGGCCCCACTCACATTCGCTCCTTGTGGTCCAGATCCCGGACTAGCTCGTCGCGCTGGTTCACCAGAGACACCAGCTCCTCCAGCAGGAGCTGCTCTCGGTGCTGCTGCGCGGCCGTTTTCTGCCAGTCTGAGGGCGAAGGTGGCTCAGGGTCAGGAGGCGCTGGCTCCAGTTCTGTCCTGCCTCCCACCCCGCTGGCCCCATCTCCCACCTTCGATGGCCAGCATGCCTCGCAGCTCACGACTCAGCAGCTCAAACCTCCGCTCCAGGTCCTGCTCCTCAATGCTGGCAGGTGGGGGTGACAGGTCAGGGAAAGGGGAACAAAGAGAATGCCCAGGGCTATGGCCACTCCCTGGTCCCCATTCCACCTTCTCATCACTATCAGTTCCCATAAAGGGCAGGGCTCTCCGCAGAGCTTTCTTTTTTTTTTTTTTTTTTTGAGACAGAGCCTCAAGCTGTCCCCCTGGGTAGAGTGCCGTGGCATTACAGCTCACAGCAACCTCCAACT